GAAGCATTGACTCAACACCTTGGCGTTGGCCAAAAACTCTGCAGGGGGAGGCAAGAGCAGGGTCCCCCCTACCCCGTCTGCTTCAACCAAGCTACCAAGCCTTCGGGAGTCTCCTTTGGGCAAAAGGGTTGTGCGTGGGGATCCCACTCAGCCACGCCGGCTGTTGCCACCCAAGCCTAGAAACAATACCCACGGTGTCTTTTGAGCATCAGAAGACCCTCGGCCGATGATGCCTGGTGCGCACGATGCCACCCTCCCACAAACGGCTTCTCACACTGGCTCGAGTGGATTGATTCTTTTTTTAAAGAACAGAAGGGTTGTGTGTGTATGTTTCTGCTCCTGCTGCGTGCTCCCTGCCCATCCTTTGTCAATCTCCGCTTTTTTTTTTAGTGCAAGCCAACAACGCTCAAGCCACCCACCGCTCAAGCCCCCCACCCTCGGCCAGCCCCAGATTTAGCTTTCCGTTTCAAACCCATCCAAGTGGCCTCTCTGGGTGTCGGTCCGGATCTCCTTGGAGTTAATACTGTCGGAAAGAGAAATACTTAAGTGTTTATCTGCTCCTTCTTGTAAATATTTATCGTTTCAGCCCTCCAGGCAAGCAGCTAACATTTAAACAAGCCCCAGGGTTGTTTGTTTTTGAAAAACAAAACCTGTCATCCCAAAGAATAGAAATGGTTGGAAACAGAGGAACAAGTTCATGGTGCCAGACTGGAAGGAGGAAGGAGAGCTGGTGCCGCTTGGGGCCTGGCTGATCTGGACTGGTTCTGCCCCATTGTGGGCATCGAGGCAGAGAAGACCCCCTTCCTGGGGACCTCCCTCCCTTTAACCGCTGAGAGCAGGAGGCCTAAAGCCTCAAGGCAAACCACAGGGGGATAAGAGACTCCTTCGGCAGCCTTGGTCCTGGTTTCCTTGACCGCAGACCTGGAAGGGGACCCCTAAAGGTCATCCAGTCGAGCCCCTGCCGAGAAGGCACCACGGGGGAATTGAACTCCCATCTAAAGATCATCCAGTCCATCCCCTGCCGAGAAGGCACCGCGGGGAATCGAACTCTCCACTTCTGGCTCCACAGCCGCAGCCCTAAACCATTAAGCCAGGGAAGGTCAGCAGTGGCCTCGGGGCTACTTACTTCCAGGGTGCTGAGCTAGCTTTGGGTATGCAGAATATATCGGGAGATTTTTTTGATCAATAGCAGGGAACATCCAGCGCTTTTCATGTGTTTCACACTGGATCTCCCGTGACACATTTTAAGGGGCAGAGAGGACACTGCCAGAGGAGAGAAGTTTGCACCTGGTGCAGCTTGGGAAGAATCCAGAGCAGATTCTAGAGAAAAGCCGTTAACTTGGAAGTCATATTGTGCAGTCTCAGCTGGGCATACTTGGAATTATTGGCCATTTTTTTTCTCAGTGACAAGCGACAGCAACGGGTTGGCGAGAGGCCACTTGACTCACTCCGCGCGACTTGAATTCTGCTCTGTCACGGCGGGTTTCAATGAAATTCATTTCATGCCGAAAGCATCTTTGTGCTGGCTCACGAAAGGTAGACTTTGCATGTTCATGGAAACGTTGATGGGGAGAATGATTCAGGGTGGTGCTTCCTGCGGGTTTTGTACAATGAAATGAATTTGTGGTCATGGGTGTGTGTTAGGAAACCTCAGAATGCTGGTCTGGAACTCAAGAAATGGAGGAAGTTTGCTTTAGAATTAGAATTATGGCCCAGTCCGGTTTGATGAATGGCTCCATTGACATCCAGTTATCTGGAAGGGTTCTTGGTGGCCCTTTTGAGAGGGGGGAGATTTTCTGTGTCCCAGCCTTTTATGGGGGCGGGGAGGCAGCCAGAGGGGCAATTGCTGGCAGGAAGATTTACACAGCTACCTTTCTGGCATATGCAGTATCTCCATCACCTTGACCATCAACTAGGAGCCCTGTCCTCAGCTGGGAAATAACATTTTGATCACTCACCTTCCATGTTTATTTGTTACGGGGCGTTTCTAGAACATGATTTTTAACCCCAACGTTCTACGCACATTGCATGTTGAGTTCTTCACGGAACTGTTCCTTATTTTTCTGTTGCTTTAAGGGAAAAATTTTAAAAAAACACACATTAGGATTGGTTTTTAAATGGCCCAAGACTGGAAGAATTCCCATTAAAAAAAAAGCATCCAGAAATGTTGAAGGTAACCTCGAAAAGCAACTTATTTTAACAGGATTTATGGTGCAAAGGAAGACGCTTCGTTCCCTACCCTGGGACGTCATTACACCTTCCCTCAAAAAGTGACGCATTGCTTCCAGACAGTGTGCAGAGGTTTGGTGGGAGCAAACATCTGGGCTGGAGGGAAGAGGTAGGGTTGAAGGGGAAGGATGCTCATGCGTGGGCTTCCAGGCCTGTCCCCCATTTGGGTATTTCTGCCTTGGGGAAGGTGACCTAAAGCATCTCTGGGCTGTGGAGAGCAGAGACACAGCACCCCCCACATCCATAAGTCTACAATTGGGGCTGGGGGCTTCCCCGTGGAGGGTTCATTGAGTCCTCTCTGGGTTTTTAGCCTGCCTTTTACAGAAGCTGTGTAAGGCACCAAACTCTCTCCCCACCCCCAACAGAATCTTTTTACTGGCTCATGAAATAGGTCCATTCACAAGACCACCGTCCGTTCCCCTGTGTGCCTCTTTCAGCTCGGGGTTGGGAATCCGTTCTTCACCTGTTGAATGACGGTCTGGGGTGGAGTCTGCTAGATGAATCTGCTTGGACTCTACCCGGCTGGCAACCCCACAAGAGCAAGAGCTGGCACCGTGCCCAGCACAGCTGCCTGGCCATGAGATCATTTCCATACTTTCCAGCTTTTGCAATAACGGGGTTTGTTGCATTCAGATTTTCTGAATAATTGCTCCCGCTTGAGAAATCTCACTCGCTTTGCATTTCTCTTTCTAAATCCAGACACGTGGTTCCCCTTTCTCCAGCCTGGTTTTTAGAACAATCCCAGACGCTGCGGTCGAAACCGTTTTCTGTCTTATAGGCAAAAGCGACAGAAGGAAGATGCTGAGCAGGTAAAGTTGCTCGGAATCTCTCAGACAGATGGCCTCTGCCTTTCAGATGCTGTCTGGTGCACCGACCATGTCAATACCTGGACCTCGCTGGTCCAGCTAGGGCAAAACATTGTCTCAGTTCCATTGCATCTGGACTACTGCTCTTGTCTCCACCTAGGGCTGCCCTTGAAGAGTGTTTCAAAACTACTTTAGTTCAGGGAATGCTTCTGTGTGCAGGGGCCTGAAGGCAGCCAGCCCCCTTTGTGGAACCGGCTACCTTAGAGTTTGAGTCGAGGCCCGATCCAAAGAGTTAATGAGGATGAGGCTATCCAGAATCCTGAGGGACCCATGGGGGACACCTCCACCCCTCCGGTTGGGCTCGGTGGCTGCCCGAGGCTCTGGATTCTGCAGCTTGAAAGAAAACCGCTCGCTTTATAATTGTATCCACTGCCAACTTTTCTAATCATACACTCTAAAGTGTATAATTACAGCAATTGGTAAAATACTAGACATTGGTAGATGCTTTTCTTCATAGGAAGGATGAGCAGAGTAAAGGCCAGATTCTGGGTTCTGTGGGACTCCATTTCCCATCAACTCTTCCAAGCATAGTTATGGGTGATAGGTGTTGCAGTCCAGCGATACCCGAAGGCCATGCTTTTTAGGAAGGTCTTTGCTACCCTGTCCTCAAGAGCCCTGCTGAGCTCCTGCAGACTCAGCGCTTCTTTAGGGAGTCAGCCCGTCTCGTGTTTGGTCTTCTTTTCCTGCTGCCTTCCACCTTTCCCAGCCTTAGTGTCTTTTCCAGAGAATCCTGCCTCCTCATGGCGTGCATATTCTTGTTAGGATTTTGACAAATTCAGCCTCTGTGTCTTGAAATAGTACTATCCACATCCCATCTACTGCTTGTGATTTATTTCTTCCTAGTGCTTTCAGAGCAGCTTTCACTTCACTTTCCAGAACTGGAGGTTCTTCATTATAGGATTCCTCTTCAAAGGAATCATCCATGTTTTTCTTTCTTCTGTATAGTTCCACTTCTGTATAGTTCCACTTTATTTTCTCCTGGTCAGCTAGTGCGCTTCCCTTTCTAATCTTGGCTTAAATTTCCCTTTGACATATGTTTTCTTTCTTCTGTATAGTTCCATTTTATTTTCTCCTGGTCAGCTAGTGTGCTTCCCTGTTGGTCACTCAGCCTTCCTAATCTTGGCTTAAATTTCCCTTTGACATATTTTTTTTAAATAAGAGATCTCTTCTCCCCCCCCCCTTTTTTTTGTTGTTCTTTTTCATTTGTTTGGCACCTGTTATTGTAATATAGTTAGTAATTGAGTCCGGTTCCTGAGGGCATGGCTCTCAGCTTTCCGGTGGCACTCACGACCTTCAGGGGCACAGAAAGGACCAGTCAATTTGCTCTTTAAGACAACCAACCAACCACGAGACAAGGCAATTACAGTATGCCCTTAGGCTTACTATGAAAGAAGACGGGACACAAAAGGAAAAAGTGAGGAGGAGGGAAGAGGAAACGGTGGTAACTCCTGCACCAGGGCTGAATGTGCGGGGAAGCTGGATCAGGGGCCAGTCGAGAGATAGGGGGCAAAATCCCCGGGATCTGGCTCCTGATACACACACATACACCCCCCCCCGCTCCTCTGGCCAAGGGGAAGGCTCTCGTGCCGGTGTAACCCGACGGGGGCGCGCTCAGCCTTCTCCCCCACTCCCGCAGAAATCCCCCTCCGTGCGTTTTTCTATTCGCCAGGTTTCGTTTTCCGCTGCATGGCTCGGGAGAGGAAAGCGCTCTCGCCCGGAGGGGTGGTGGAGGATCGGGCCCTTGCTGCGCCTCTCCGAGTCTTGCCCCTGGCGGGAGGCGGAGGAGGGCTCCCGGGGGGGCATCCCTGCCTCCCTCCCTCTAGAAGGTGACGTCACTCCCGGCGATGGGGAAATCCCGCCGCCCCGCCCTCTCGGCTGGACAGGCGCTATAAAAGCCGACGGCTCCCGGCGTCCGGCGCCAGACCCCAGCCGAGCGCCCTGCAGCTGCTATCGCTCCTGCCCCATCGATCTCCGCCGCAGCCATGACCAGGACCGCCGCCTCCGCCACTGCCCCGCTGCTGCTGCTCTTGCTCCTCCTCCTGGGGGCGCTCTGGGACTCCTGCCCGCCAGCTGCCTCCGCTCCAGGTGAGTGCCAGCCCCGGGGGTGGGGGGGAGGAATCCTCTAATGAAAGGTGGGGAGACCAAGGAGACCTCCGAATGGAGAGAAATGGGGTTTTCTGCTTCCTAAAAACCTCCCCAAGGGGTGGTTTGGGGCACTCATCCTGGACCACTAATAAATTGGACCAGTTTGCCGCCTAGGGTAATTTGGGAAGAGAGGGTCAGGGAGGTGCGGATGATTTATTTCGAAGGCCAGACCATTAGCCCCAAAGTTTTGGGGGCTTTTTAACAAATAAAGGCTCAACTTCTGCCTCTTGGAAAAAATCAGGATAGGGCCGCACAGTCGTAGAGACAATAAAAAGTTTTGGAACATCCCACAAGTGATGCACAGCCTTGAAGAAGATGATTTATCATTGAAAGCTCACTGTTGGGGTTTTTGTTTATTTGTTTTATATTCTTAATGGTCAATCAAAGGTCTCACCGACTCCTGCTTCTGCAGCTTGAGACTCCGGCTCTTCTCCCCCACTTTGATTTTAAATCCTTGCATATATATTCCGAGGAAAAGACATAAAACTGGCTAGGTTTCATTGCACAGTGTGACAGAGTCCTCGAACCCCCCTGAGTTTTTGGGTCTCAGAGGTCATCTAATCTCCCCCCCCCAGGAACCTTGGGCTGGTGTGCAAAGGGTGGTGGACTCCATAAGAACATCAGAAGAACCCTGGTGGATCAGGCCCAGGGTCCATTGAGCCCAGCTTCCTGTCTCTCACTGTGGCCCCACCAGATGCCTCTGGGAGCACACGAGACCACTACGTAGATTCCTGTCTCCTGATTCTACTCCCCTGCATCTGGCATTTGGAGGTCCCTTCCTTTTAAGCCTAGAGACTGTATCTCCCCATCAATTAAGAGCAATTAAGAAAAGCGGGACTTGAGGACAGCCCGGTTGTCAAGAGCATGTGCAGAGTTCCCTCCCCCACTCCCTGAACCATCCGGGCCAGTCTCTCTCTTCACATCTTGAAAGGGCAGGATTCAGGGCAGGGAAACGGTGACGCCTCCTTCCGGGGTTCACTGATGCCCTTCTGCTAGACACAGGGACGCCAGTGTCTCACCGGCTCACCTTTCTCTCTAGTGGGTTCCGACCCCCCGACCTCCTGCTGCTTCACGTACACCGCCAAGAAGATCCCCCGCGAGTATGTGGTCGACTACTATGAAACCAACAGCCGGTGCTCCCAGCCTGCCGTTGTGTAAGTATGAGCTCCGTGTTCGAGTCCAGCCACCGGGCTGTGGATGAGACAGGTGGCCCTCGGTGGTGGTGGTGGTGGGGTGGGTGGGGGGCTTCTGTCCCCTGAATCCCAGGCATTGGGGGATCCGTGGAAGTCGGAGAAGGGGCAAGGCCAGAAAACCTGACAGCTGAAGAGTGGGGCAGAAAACCCAAGTTGGTTTCCTTGGGGAAAACACTTTTGCTGCATTGTGCTGTCCGGTTCCACCTGGCGGGCACCTTGGCAGAGCTGGCAGCCTTTACCCTGGGTGTCACGTTTACTCCCACTGCCCTTTCTTTTGCCTTTCTTAAACTCTAGGGATGTGACCAGCCTCGATTCCCTTTGTCAAACAGGGATTTGTTGAGTTTCTTGGCCTTTACAGTACTCTCTGTTTGGCCGTTTGTCTTACTTTCTAAGGTCTCAACAGTAAGGAGGTTCGGTTGCAACGATATTTTATTCTTTCTAATATTTCACACCAGCGGAGGGAGGCTTCCCTGAGTCGACGGCTGTTTTTGACTAGGAAACGGAGGGAAAAAGCCCATGTACCGCATTTTTCTGCGTATAAGACTATACTTTTGTCTACAATCTTTAGACTAAAATTGTGGGTCATCTTATACACGGAAGTAAGCTGAGGAAAGAACAAAAATAAGTGGAGAGGAAAGCAGGGATCAAAGTGATCCTGCAAGGCTCCACTTGCTAAGTCCCACTTAGATTTCTTAATTTGGGGTTAGAAAAGTGGGGGGGGGCGTCTTATACATGGAAAAATAAGGTAATCTAATTAAATACAAATTACTCACAGTAACTAAATGACGGAGGGGACTGTTAAGAGTTCAGCATTTTTTTTTGAAAGGGGTTCCCATGCGATCCTGTTTCCGACTCAGACACCACACAATGCACACCCATAGTGGTGTGTTTTTAAACTAGGCAAATCAGAGTCTCAGGATGAGGACTGATAGGCGCTAAAGAGGAAATGTATTAAAAACAACCTTGCTTTTTCTTGCTTTCCCTCCAGGCTCATCACACGGAAGCGCAAAGAGATTTGTGCCAACCCTACAGAGCGATGGGTCCAGGAGTACGTGAAGGACCTGGAACTGAACTGAAAGGGCTTAGAACAGAGCCATTTCTGGCAGAATTAAAGGACTGAGGGAGGCCGGGGCCATTGGTCCTGTGGTTGCCCAGCATGAAGTCCTGCCCCCCTCGAGCGAGGACACGACAAGGATCCTAAGTTTGCTTTTCTGGGAACTCCCAGTTACTTCTCAGGGCATTGCTATCGTAATTTAAATGTATTTATTTTGCTCACGGCCAGAACTTTGTTCTTAATTATTTTATTTATGCAACTCGGAAGGGATACTAAAATAACACACTTTTTTATCATTTTATCTATATTTGTAACACAGAGTGAGAGAGAATAATGATATCTGCAATAAATATTTTTCTACTAAGTGTGTTGAGATGCAAAGAGTGTTTTTTAAAATTCTCTTCCAAACTCGGGCAGGCCCTTGGAGATGCAGGAAGCACTTGTGGCCTTCCGGGCTGCGCCAACCCCTGCCATTTTGCTGCCTGAGGTGGAGAAGCTGACATCTCCTGGGTGCCTAAGAACCAGAATCGGTCCCCTTAGTTTGCACATCCATCAATGCCTTCAAAGAAGTTGGTTGTTTGTTTATTCATCCCACCGCCCCCAGTCAAGGAATCACCTGCACTTTGTAGACATGCCGTTTGGAGTGTCCCTACACGCCTGCCCGGGCCGAGCTTTTATTGCGACACGTGTACCACCGTGCTTGTGTGAACCCGTCATGGAGCCGATCGCGGTCTTTCCAGCCCAGAAGGAAATGAACCGCGGCCAGCATCTCCCTCGGCAAGATTCGGCGTCTGGGACGCGAATCGGCCACCAGAGGGCAGCAAGAGACCGAGGCTGCGCCCCCAAGAGGCTGCAGCTCTTCCCTTCCGCAGGAACTTCGTGTTTTCTAGCGATGGGGGAAAATGTGGGGCGCTGCAGCATCCTCGGGAATTTTATTTCATTCTCCCCCCCCCGGGCGCGCATGCGTGAGCGCTGGGATGGACCGGGGATTTTATTTCATTCTCCCCACGGGCGCGCATGCGTGAGCGCTGGGATGGAGGGAGGCAAAACTGCCAGATCTTCATTGCCCCGATTGATTTGTATTGCCCCTTCGACTCAAACCTATGGAGCCATAGAATGGCCTGAGTTCGAGGGGACCCCCGAGGGTCATCTGTTCCCATACTGGGACCCCCAGATGTTCTTGGACTGCAATTCCCACACTGGGACCCCCCCAGATGTTCTTGGACTTCAATTCCCAGAAGGCTTCACCACCAGCTGTGCTGGCCAGGATTTCTGGGAGTTGCAGTCCAAGGACATCTACGGACGCTACAGCAGCTGCCGCTGTGGTTTCTTTTTTAAAGAAAATATCATAACACTGCACATGTTGTTCTTGTTTCATATTATTTTATTAGTGCAAGTCATTCCGATCAATGTTTTTCGTAGAAAAGTAGGGTGGGAAAAACAAATGCAATGTCTGCCAGGCAGGAACAGCGTGTACTCGGTCGCTTCCAGCCTCTCCTGGATTTGGTAGCCCGTGCGATGGTAGTGACTGGATTGCCAGGAGGGGGTTCAAATCCTACCCCCTCGGCCAAAAAACAAAGGGAGAGGGTGCGGGATATAAATCCAATAAATGAATAAATCAATTTATTCTAGCATATCGACAAGGTACGCAAAGGAGACGTGGAGGGATATTAATTCAATCCCCGCCAGGGTAGCTTAATGACGCGCTTGCCCGCAGAGGCGCTAGTCCTCAAGGAAGGCGGTGCAGCCACGGAGAAAGGGGGAGCGGCCAAAGGGCGGCCGCACGTGCCTGCCTCGGGCGGAGCGCCGAGCCTCAGCCAATCGCAGCGGAGGTACCGCCTCTCCCTTCCTTCGCCCCGCCCCTTTCCTCCGGCGCAGCCTCCGTGGAGGGGCGGGGCGCGCGCGAGGGGCCGCCGCCGTCCTTCTCCCGGCTTTTCGCCCGGGAGCCGGGATGGGAGGGGAAAGGTGAGGCTCCTCCTCCCCCTTCCCTCCCCCTCACCCAATCGCAACACCGCCCCGTCTGAGCGGCAGCCCCCGCGGGCCAATGGGAGCGAGGCGAGGGAGAGGGCAGTCCCTTGAGAGCGGCGGCGGCGGCGGCGCCTTGCGGTCTGCAGCTCGGTTTCCCCTCCATCGTCGTCGGCGACAGCATCCTCATCATCCTCATGGAGCGCTCGGGCGGCTCCCTCCGGCCAGGCCCGGGTCCTCTACCCAAAGGGCTGCTGGGCCGGCGCGGGACCACCGGAGCGGCCTCAGGCGGCGGCGGCGCTGGGGTCGGCAGCGGAGGAGGAGGAGGCCAATTGCTGGTATAACTCAACCCAGAAAAACTCAGCCCAGTTATCTTGAGCGCCGCAAGCTCATTCCTTCCTTACGAACTGAAAAAGTGAATTTATAGGGAAGAACACAATTTGCATGCAACTCCATAAAAGCCTGTGCTATTATGTATCAATTTCCCACTGAGCAGACTCCAGGCAAAGGAGACACTGGTGGGGATATTTGTACATTACAATCACGTGGCCAAACAACGTCAAGTGCAAGGAGAAATCACAACTCAGTGGTCATGTAGATCCACGTTCCCTAAATGTCCTTGGACCACAACTCCCAGAAGCCTCCACCACATGCTGGTCTGCCCCCGGGTGGGGGTTTCTGGGAGTTACAGTCCAAGAACATCTGGGGGACCCCTGTTTTAGAACCACCGAGACCCCAACCTGGCAAAGGGGGAAAGAGGCTGGGATTTTTTGGGGGACCCCGGTTTGAGAACCACTGAGACCCCAACCTGGCAAAGGGGGAAAAAGGCTGGGATTTTTTGGGGGGGGGCGGAATCAGGAAGGGAAAGCCAAAGGATGCCCTTTCTGGCCAGGAAGGCTTGGGCTCGGAGGACTTTGGGGGAATCTTCCTAACGCAGGGAGGGCTCTTGAATCGAAGGGGATGCCTTCTGCCTTTCCACAGTGGTTTGAGAACCACTGAGACCCCAACCTGGCAAAGGGGGAAAAAGGCTGGGATTTTTTGGGGGGGGGCGGAATCAGGAAGGGAAAGCCAAAGGATGCCCTTTCTGGCCAGGAAGGCTTGGGCTCGGAGGACTTTGGGGGAATCTTCCTAACGCAGGGAGGGCTCTTGAATCGAAGGGGATGCCTTCTGCCTTTCCACAGTGGGTTGGGTACGTAGCTGGGCCCAGAGAAGCTTGGAATCTATTTGGAGCCCTTAATGACTATAAACATGTTTAATTGGAGGCACTGCCATGGTCCTGTGACGGAGGAACTCGGGTTGGGTTGGGTGGGTCTCATTTCCAGGTTTGGTGGCAGCCCCCCCCCCAGTTGTGGATTACTGTGGCCATTGGCTGAACGGTAAATTCAAAGCATCTGGAAAAGGCATATGATCTGTTTTGCACTGACCGGCTCAGACGAATCCGCCTTCTTGGCACCGACCTTGTGTGGGGTTAAAAGAGCCGTGTGTTACCAATGTGGGATTGGAAATACTGTACTAAGTGTAGGAATACTTTTGTGGAGCATAGATCCTGGTGGTCCTGCCTGGTTTAGAGAGCCTTGAAGGGTGGGGCAGCCCCACGGGAGGAAAACCTGGCTCCTCGTGGGCGCAGCTGGGGCCACCGAAAGGTCTCGGCATCTTTTGCAGCTGTGGCTCTGAAAATCGTGGGCCTCTCCTTGGGCGTCTGGTGTCAGGGTGGACTTGGCCTGCTTTCCTCTCATGGCTACGGCCAGATGACGGAGCTCAACAGAGGCACCTTCCCCTCTTGCTAGCTTTGAGAGTTGACGGAGGAGGAGCATCTCTCAGCTTGGGCGCGTGGGAGGTGATGGCTCTTTCCTGCCACGGCGTATGCCCTCAGCTGGAACGTAACACACATTTTTAGGGGCAAACTGTTCTCTTTCTGTTCTGGGGGACTTGGCGTTGACCAAAAGGAAGCAGGATCCTGCTTTGCACTGTTTACTGGGCTTTGCACAGCCTGCTTTTTCCATAGGGTCCAGTGTGAGGCAACTCCTTCTAAGCCCGCCAGGGCTGTTGCCCCGGCCAGGAGCGATGTGGCCATAGGGTGGGTGGGTGAGGTGCTCCCTGCAATGCAGCGGGAGCAGGGAGCAGCAGCAAGTGCCAGGGGTGGCTGGAGAAGATGGCCTTGAGCTCAGGAATACTAGCTTCTTTTTTTTGAGCTGAGAAGGGCTGCTTCTCAGGGGAAAGTGGGAAGGGGGGTTGTGGTTGGGGAGAGAAGAACAGGATGTCCTTGTTGCTTAAGGCCATGTTTGGCCCTGCGGCTGCTCCCCCCCCCCAGCTTCCTGTGTTTTGGGACATCGCTCCCCTCCTAGCAGACTCTAAAAGTTCCGAAGTGACCTTCGTGTTTCCCTTTTACAGGCAGTTCTCGACCCCCAACCCCATATATCTCCATATGGGCCATATCCTGAGTCCCGATGGGCTTTTGCTGGGGGACGGCTTCTCAGCCAGAAGAGGCACAGTTGTGTGGGTTGCTAAAGCTTCCTCTGCACCGTTTCCTACGTTCAGCTCCTGCAGCCACCGAACGCTGGAAGACAGCCTTTCTGGGATTCTGCTGTCTGGAGGTGAACGCAGGGCCTGCCTGTAGTTAGACGGGTTGCATGACGAGAGTACTTGGTTCCCTTCTGTTTTTCCTTTTCTGGTTGATTCAGAGCAGAAGCATGTGACGGGAGGCTGATCATTCCTGCCCTTTTTCTTCTTGCTTTCTGGCAGACGTTCCTGGGGGGGAGGACGGGCTGCATTTGGGCCAGGCCATTTTCTCAGGGGCAGCCGAGCAATTGGCTCTGTGCTAGAGGTGAGACTGAAGGATGGCTATGATGAGAGACACCGCTCCTTCAGGGCGGTTTCACACAGGGTGGTGCGTGAGTGACCCAGTCACCAAGCTGGGCGAACCTAGCAGACATGGTGCATATACAGTGGTGCCTCGCTTGACGATGTTAATTCGTTCCAGCGAAATTGCTGTAGAGCGAAAACATCGTCAAATGAAATTTAAAAAACCATTGAAACGCATTGAATGCGTTCCAATGGGCTGAATACCTGCTCGTCCAGCAAAGATCCTCCATACGGCAGCCATTTTCGGTGCCTGTATAGCGAGGAATCTGTCCTAGAAAACAGCGGGGGGCCATTTTGAAACCTGACAATCAGCTGTTTGCTGATCCTCATAAAGCGAAAAATCGGTTCCCGAAACAGGGAACCGATCAACGTGAACCAAAAAAAAAAAAAAAAACCCAGTCTAAACATCGTTTTGCGATCGCAAAAACTTCAACGTTAAGCGGATTCGTCTTTAAATGGGGTGATCGTTCAGCGGGACACGACTGTAAATAAATCAGGGCAGAGAGGTCAGATCTGTTCCTCAGGTGGACAGGTAGGCTGGCCGGTGGCACTGTCCTTGTGCGGTGTGTGTGTGTGTAGAGGCCTGTGCGTGACAGAGGCTGCTTCTTTTCAGGTGGATTCTTGCAAATACAGGGCAAAGCCTGAACTGCTGGAAACCCTCCCATCCTGGCCATACACACACATGAAGTGTGGCAAACAGATTGGCCACACAGGACCCACTCCTGCAGAGGGAGATAGACCTGCAGAAGTGTT